CAAACTCGCCCATGATGTCCCTGAAGCCCTGGAGGCTCCCAGAGTCCTGGCGCGCGGCGCCGAAGATGGAGAGCACGGGCTCGCCCCTGTGCACCCCGAAGGGAACGCTGAGCTTCGCGGCCGTCCGCAGGAAGGCCCGGCTGCCTATCGTGTCAGGGAGCATGGGCATCAGGGCCTTCCGTGCTCTCTCCCTGACGTCGCCCTGCGGCCGGCTCACGAAGAAGTACAGCACGTGGGCCACGACGTGCGACAGGGGCAGCCCGCACTGGTCGTCCAGGTCGCCGAGGATCGCTGCCAGCGTCATCTGCAGCTCGTGCGCGTGCGTCCCCGCACACGCCGGCACGCGCGCGGGGTCGACGCCCGCGGCAAGGCTGAAGTAGTGCGAGGTCACAGAAGACGACCCAAGGAGCATGGAAGCCCCGTCGGGGGAGCGGAACGCCTGCTGCACGTACATGCCCTGCAAGACCATCAGCGCCAGCCCGCCCGTGCGCCGCCCTGTGAAGAGCGCGCCCCTCAGTCCGGACTCCTGGCAGACCTTGGTACTCCTCGCGCAGCGGCACATGGCCTCGGCCAGCCAGTCCGCGAACCAGGCGCTGTCGTCCCACGAGCCCGAAGACGATCTGGAGATGCGGTATCGCTGCCTCATCCGGGCTCGGAGTAGGCACTCGTAGACGACCTGCATCATTGAGGTCTCCAGCCACGTGACCCTGTGCCAGGGGCCGGTGGCCTCGATGTAGACCCGATCCTGGTCCAGCTTCTCGTCCCGCGCCACGAAGACCTGGACAAGGACAGAGCCTTCGCGGTCCGGCGCGGCGGGCACTCTGCAGCTCGCGTCCGCCCTGAACTCCTGGACGAGCGCGCGGGGTGCCCCCGCGGGGCCGCAGACCGCGTCTAAGGTGTCCGCGCCCCAGCGCGGGAGCTGATTATCTCTCGCGCACTGCTCGAAGAGGGGACGGTCGAACATCCGCTCTGTCAGGCCGTGGAGCCGGCTCAGGAGCTCCTCGAAGAGGTCCGGGCTCGCGGCGCCGACGGCAGAGTCGTGGAGCTGCTTTCGGCACTCCGGGTCGCGGATGTTCACACTGAACGTGCAACGCACGCCTCTGCAGGCGCGCTCGGCGGCCATCACGACGGGGAGCATCGTCCACTTGTAGAAGTCGTTGAAGCAGCTTGCTGGCAGCGGCTCCCCATTCTTGAGCTCCCCGCTGGAGCCGAACCTGCTCAGCGCCTCCGCGACCTCGAGCCTGTTCTGGTCCAAGAACTGCTGGACCTCCACGGCGCCCGCGGCCCCGCACTTCTGCTCCAGCGCCCGCGCGAGCCGCTCGACGAGCGTCGCGCTGCCTCCGGGCAGCTCGCCTCCAATCTCCTTGCTGGTGCGCAGACGGCGCTCTGCGACACTCTCCGCCCCTCCACCACTCCCCTCGTCTCCCTCCGGGGCTCTCCCCCTTGCTCCATGTAACAAACCTGATGGGACAAGAACGAGATGGGACAAGATGGAACAAACCGCTTTAGTCCAATGGGCTTAGTGGGCGAGGAAGAAGAAAAGAAAGGCGAGGGCGACGAGGAGGACCTTGCCAGTGCGCAGGCGGCGCTCTGCGACACCCTCGCCCCTCCACCACTCCCCTCGTCTCCCTCCGAAACTCTCCCGCTTTGCTCCACGCAACAAATCCGCCACCGTGCCCCTGGGCGCGTTGAGGCGTGGTAGAATGCCAAGTGTTGCCTGGCAGAGGTTCTGTGTTCTTCTTATCGAGTAGGGGATCGACTACAGAATTCGTTAACCCCAGAATCCATTTTCTCCTCGAATCCACGGAAAATACTTCGAGTTCCCAGTAGAGTTGCGAGAGTTCTATGTTTTCGTCATAGACTCGATGGGGAAATTCAATGTTGAGGCAAATCCATTCTGCAAACGATCCCCCACTCGATCTAGAGGACCCACCCCTTCTCCCGGTCGCAGCCTTCTGCGTGCACCGCCCACCCCCGCCCTCCAGAGGCCATGACCCCTCCGAACAAAAAACAACCAGCCCGCGCTCCAGAGGCCACGATCTCTCGTCCAAATCTAATGGGCCTGGGCTACCGATCCCTTCCGAAACGGTCAGCGCAGGCCACCAAACCCGCCAGAATAGCCCAAGATGAATCCAGGACGGCCGAAGGTGGCCCCAAGACGGCAGAAAATGCCCTCAGGACGGCCTGAGAGGCCCCAAAACGGCCCAAGGCAGCGACCCCCAAGACAGCCCAAGAGGACCCCAGGACGGCCCCAAGAGGGCCCCAGGACGGCCCAAGAGACCTCCTAGAGGGCCCGAAACCGCCGCAAGTGGGCCCCAACACAGCCCAGAGAGGAGCCCAAGATGGCCTCCGAAGGCGTCAGACGGGCCAAGAGAGCCCCCAATACAGCCCAAGAGAGCTCCAAGAGGCCCTCCAGGAGGCCAGAAGAAGCCAGCATCAAGGAGTTCCCATAAGTTGCTCAATGTTTTTCGCGTTCCCCCCTCTTCGGGCGTCTGACAGC